GTATAAGGCTAAGTTGATTTGGTTGATATCAAACACTGATTAAAATAACCTTTTTGAATTATACAGGATGTGTAGGAAAAAAATCAGTGATTTTTTTAAACAGGATGGTAGTCCCAGTATTGAGTTCTGAATATGTTTTCTTGTATGTAACTCCTTTATGTAGAAAATAATGCGTGGAGACAAAAAACTAAAAAAATATTTTTGAGTTTATTGTTATATTTACGCAGATTTTTTTTGTAAATTGTATAGTTATTTTTGGATGTCGTCTGTCAACAGCCTCTCTAACTAGTTGGATAAACTATATTAAAATATTAAAAATAAACTAGCTATTTCAATAGCCCTGAATATAGGATATCAAAAAATATTATATGGATAGTGCCATTGTCATTCCAGAATTCAACTTTTTAGCGTAAACCGTTTTTGAAAAAAATACTTATTACTTTGGTTTTGAATCATATACCGGGTGCGCCTCAAAAGTGGCTCGCCCCTATAATAACTTTAATTTATTTTTTTACATAAAAAAAAACGAGATTTGGCATGACAGTAGTATATGACATTAAAAAATCGTATTTTAAATTTCAATCTAGAGTGCCATGGCTGTGTTAAAAACACAATTTTTAACCAAGAGACCTTATGTCATATACCAACATACTAAATCTGGTTTTTATCTGAAAAAAATAAAAAAGTTATAGGGGCGAACTACTTTTGAGACGCACCCGTAGCATGTAGGCTCAAGTAATTTTGAAGCAAAGATCTTCCATCTGATTTTTTCCGAGCTAATTCAACGACAGCCAGTGTGAAGGAATATGAATAATGCATTTTTGGTATAATTTGATTATATTAATATGATAAATCCTACATTTCAGATTGTAGGCCGCTTAAAAACTGACATCGATTACACTTCTATACCTAGAGAAAACATGATATTAGCAATGGTATATTAATTTACCAAAGCAAGACAAGAATCAATTGTTACGAAATGTCAAAAGGTTTTGATAGGAGAAAATGGATGGTAAAGCTTACCAGGACATGATTCTTCTTTTTTCCGGACAGGTTGGGCAGCGGTCTGTTAGCAGTAGGCATGGGATGTGACATATGTGGTTGTGGACACACAAACAATCAAAGTGGATAGGATATTTGGTGTACTGGGTACCTAGCATTATCTAGGCTTTTAAAATAAACAATTTAATTTAATATCCAACAAGTATTAGGACTTACATAGCATACTTAACATAATGTATTAATAAAAACAATATTTGATTAATGACTGAATTGAAAATCAAAAAAAACCCTTAAAATGTTCTAAAATAGATATTTATGCGCCAGAACAAAAAATAATACTTACAAAATGAAAAATCAGATTATTACTTTCATTTACACGTTTTTTAATCTAATCACATATGGATTATATTTTTGAGTAAACTATACCGGGTGCGTCTCAAAAGTGGCTCATCCCTATAACTTTTTTATTTTTTTCAGATAAAAAAAAACGAGATTTGGTAATTTAGTACATGACATAAATTAGATTTGATTAAGGTATTCCATTATTTTCGGTCGAAGTGTCATTTTCTATCGATTAAGTAAAAAAATACGGAAGATGTCATTTAAAAATCAAAAGTTGTAGTCATTTCCGGTGAAACAGGAAGTGACCAAAAACAATTGAATACGTCATCAATCCTAATTTGTCATATACAGAGATACTAAATCTCGTTTTATTATTCAATGCTTTCAATTGTTTTTCGTTACCTCCTGTTTTACCGGAAATGACGGTAACTTATTCCATTTGCCACCTTATTCCATTTGAAAAAATTGAGATATGATTAAAAATAAGACTTAAAGCATCTTTAAAACGGCAAGGACATGACACGAAAAACTATAGACAATCAAATCTATTTTTCCAAAGCTCCTTAATTAAAAATTAGCGAAAATGTCAAAAGTTGACATATGATATGTCATTCTATTCAGAGTGTCATTTTCTATCGAATAAACTTAAAATATACCGAGGGTACCATTTAAAAATCAAAAGTTGTAGTCATTTCCGGTTAAACAGGAAGTGACCAAAAACAATTGAATATGTCAATGAATATCAATTTACGTCATATACTAATATACCAAATCTAGTTTTTTATCGAAAAAAAAGCTATAGGGGAAGGTCACTTTTGAGACGCATCCGGTATATTGTGCCCAAATTTTGATATTTGCTTTATGCATCCTGCACACATCGATTTCTTTAATATGTGCAACAAATTTAGTCTATCCAACGAATCAGATAATATTTCGACAGACATGCAAAAAATTGCCAAAAAAATTTGTCTGTGAATTAAAATGACAAACACAACTGTCACTGTCAGGGACTCTCCCGTTGGATAGACTATATTTGAGCGTGATGGCAGCGATAGATCTATTGACGACCGACGTATGATAGATACCGTATGGATACATATAAATATAACACTAACCATTATAGAGGTTCTGGCTAGCAAACATTCCAATTTGAAAGAAGACCAAGTCCAGCAGAGGATGAGTATAGTACAGACTGATAGTGATGAACCACAATAATTATTTCACTAAATATTATTCCAAAAAAATATACAATTTAATTTTCTCTATGAAATATATTATGGTTACAGCAATAACATTACTAAAGAATAATATAAAATAGACTTAGGCCCCTTTATTTAGCTATGCTCAAAAGATGAAATACTCTATTCTTTTAACTATGGTTGGATGATTGCCTATAGCTGCTGATTTGACTATATCAGAGACATATATAGTCAGATATTTTTATATAATTTACAGTTGTTAATTACAGTTATATATTTTGACACTACTTATTGGTCATATTTATTTCAATGTTATGTTAACATTAGACAATAAGGCATACGGTATCTAGGCAGATTTTTAAATTCCTAGATGTCATCAACTTCATTGTAGTGTATGTGCCGATGTGCTTAAAGTCCGTCCAACGGGCAGATAAGTGACAGTGACAGTAGGTATATTTGCCATTTTAATCCACAAGTAAATTTTAATTCATTTACTAAATGTCGTCTGTTGATATTCTTCACTGACTCGTTGGACAAACTTTACATGAAATTTGCGCTCCCCAGTAACACAGTGTATGACCAAACAATTTTATGGATAGAAGTGATTTCCATGATGACAGATAAACCCTTCTTGCGGGAGGAAAGTACAGTAAACTTGTTTAAACCGTTAAGGTATAAACCTTTATAACATTATTATATTACTGATTATAACAAAATAAATGTCCGGTGGAGGAAAATATGCTAATGACATTTATTGTATAATTTTAATTTAAAAGTAGATTGATTTTTTGTAGACGTATGTTGGTTGTAAAATTTAATATATTCCCTTGCTGAAAAGGCTATAGATTAAATTAGAGTTGCAAAGTAGTGACCAAGGTCGTATTGCCAAAAAGTAATAAACCTAAAAATTATACTAAAAAAGTGAGTTGTAGAATAGGCGCATACGAGACTATATCAAAATATATATGAAAATTGTTTATCCTCACTGTGGTCCATGTCTAGGTTTTTCGCACATTGGAATACATCTTTTTTTTTAGTTTAGGTCACTTATTTTTAAACTTATATACCGTATGATCGAAAAAAAACAGTCCTTAGGAATAATGTTAAGATTAAGATTAGATCTAATACATGGTGTTTCAAAAAACATGTGCCATCTCTTGTAGAGGGATATTCCTCACGTAAAAAGATAATAATAAGATTTATTTTTCATATCAACATAGGTCCAATTCTGCTTTGTTTCGTAGCTACAAGCGGTTAAAGTAATTTTTTTTCGACTTTTTATAATTTTGTTCCAAGTGCTTATTAAATAAAAAAGTGCTTATATTATATAATTGCTTCAGTGATTCGAATGAAATTTTGAAGGTAAAAGTTATTATAAGTGCTACATATTTTAATGCTAAAAAAGTGTCGATAGATACATCAGGGACGTGCATATGTGTTATCACTGAAATATTTTTAGAAAACCACTGACTTTTTTTCTTCTGATAGGATAATTGTATAGGCTGTTTAATGCCAATTAAAAGTTGTATCTTGATATTTTGTCGATTTCGACCTCCTTGATGAAATAAACGCAATTTTACTAATCACAATAATTAATAAAATTAAATTAAAAATAGAGTTAATAAATTATTTATTTATCTAATTTATTATTAAATATTATTACTATTAGTCCAACCACAAGTAAATTGAAATAAAAAATAATGGAATTTAATATAATTACAAAATACTTAATTTTAAAGTTTTAACATCCTATAATTTTAAAACTGTGCATTTCCATACCCATTTTTGTGAGAACTTTTTTCATATTTTTTGATGAGTACTTATTTAAAACTTTCGCAAATTAATGATATTCAATTTTTTTAAAGGCTGCTATTAGACTTGGATTAAAGCAAATTAATAAAGTTGCGTTTATCTCACCAAGGAGGCCGAAATCGACAAAATATCAAAAGAAAACTTTTAATCGGCATTAAACGGTTTACACTATTTCTCTAACCAGAGAAAAACATGTCAGTGGCGTACATGTTTTCTTTTCAGAAAAATATTCCAGTGTTAACCCATATGCACGTCCCTAATGAATATGGCAATACTTTTTTAGCATTATGTCGCATTTAATTAATTAATTTTTACCCTCAAAATTTCAATGGAATCGCTAAAAGTACTTGGAGGAAAATTATAATAAATACAAAAAATTAAGATTTTAACACCCCGCAGCCACGAAACAAAGCAGAATCGGACCTATGTTGATATGAAAAATAAATCTTATTTTTACGTGAGAAATCTCCCCACGAGAGATGGCTCATGTTTCTTGAAACACCCTGTATATGAAGTATATAAACCTATATTTTATTGACTATTACTCAAATAAAATATTATTTAGGTCGGTCACACTTTTATCATAATTATTATCTTATAATTCTGTACCTGAAAAAAATGTGAATAAAAAAATAATAGTTTTGATACACACACTGTATTTACTTAGAACTCTTAACTATTACATTAGTCATAAAATTATATCTAAATAGGTATACAATCAAGCATGTACGTAAAGTTAAAACTAAATTCTAATTTAATCATATATAAAGTATAATAATAAAAAGCATGTTATAATGTACTTTTTAATCATCTGTATATGTCACTTTTAACTATGATATGTCAAACTGCCTACATTTTCAGACCTAATCAACTTATTGTATAAAGTAATAATAGTAATTCACAAAAATGAACAGAAATAAATTAAACATCCACTTATAGCAATGTCGAATTTTATAATACACATAGATATTTTTTTACTTTTAATAATCAATATGTGAGAATAAAAAAATATGCATAAAATAAATATTTTCCTCCATTGCTAGAAGCGTCGGAATTATAAATATCAGTAATATAAAAATCAAATAAAATAATACAAAACTTTGGGTTATTCAATAAACTGTATAATTGGTTTAGACGTAAATTTTTTTTGTGTAAGATTATAAGTGATCATAGGAATAACTAACCCTACAATTGGGTGTAAAAATGGTTAGTGGCAATTTTTACCCTGTAATCTTAGCTTATATCTAAAAATGTTAAACCAATATTACAACGTTAAGTTGATATATTTACATTATGCATTTACCTATTTTAATACCAAAATCTGACCAATAATACAGTTTTAAATAAAGCAAAATATAATTTGATGTAGACATTTATGACCTGACTATTAAATATTAAATTGTATGAAAACTGTGAGAAAGATAAACTTATCAAAAGGCTTCTTTCGATAGGTTTATATTTTCAATATAACACACTATTTTAAAAATATTAGTTTCTTATTGACTTTATATTTTTCCAGTGTATTTCGAGACAACTCTTAAGATGTATGAGTAATACTTAATGAGCAAACATTATTCTTATGTTTGTAATTACTACTACTTTAATATTTACAAAGAACTCCACAAAAAATCTTTAAATCATAAATTATAATTGTAATAAGACTTATTAAATACACAAAACAATAAAAGTAAATTAGTTAGCCCTATAAAGAAGTCTAAAAAACTATATTAATCCATAATTGAAACAATTTCTTTGGTTTTGTCATTGTTACAAACCATCTAATATAAAGTTCATATACCACCATACTATTAAAAATAACTACCATATACAAGAACTTCAAAATATTCAAATTTCAAATTCAAATTTTTTTTTATATCAAAAGCTGTATTATTTTAGCACTAAATCCCCTATATTTAAGCTACTAGATTATCTTGTTGAAATTTTGAACTGAAAAAATCGTTTCCTGTACTTATAAAGCAGTAGCGGCCTGTCCTCTAGCATGAAAACTACTATCGATACCAATAAACTTTTAGTTACGTCATCGAGGACGCGATTATTAAATTCATTGTTGCCAACTGTGGACATATTCTGCGCCGGGCTGATTAACTGGAATTTAAATTACCCGCTGGCGATTCAGATGGTAGCTCTGCTGTAAAAAATGTCAAGTTGCCACATTCATTTCTTTCCTGACATTTTGATTGATTTTGACACTTTAGTTTTGTATTACAAGTTTTTGGTTTAAGTGTAATGTTGTAATAATATATTAAACTTAAAATATTTTACTAGCAGACCTTGCAACAGAAAATTGTGAATAGTAGTGCGAAGTGTACAAAATGCCGAAGAACTTAATAGCCGTTGCGAAAAACTCATCGCAACCTTATCAGAAAATTTCGAACGGAAAAGCAATTATAATGGCCCGTTATATCCCTTAATAAGTGCTGTTAAGGAGGCGAGTTTTGTTCATGTAAATAATAACTGTTTATATATTTATAATTCATTCGTTTTTGTTTCCTAAAATATTTTGATTAAAAGAAAATATGTAAAAGTCGGCAACGCTGTGCCGGTCAAGCTTGCCAATCACTTAACTAAAAGTTTATTTGGTTTGATTTATAGAAGGACATACTTTATGGACTAAACATAGTAGATAAGCTTTTGCTTGCGGAAGGCTGTGCGCCCCATCCCCCTTCAGAACACACGATCCGCCACTGTATATAAGATATGTTGATGAATATCTTCAAGCACATACTTCTTCATAGATACTTTATTTAATAAAATATTTTTAAATATTACTAAAATAAAGTTTCCTTTGGTCGCAAATAAAAAGATAAAATATTAAATTAAATGAAAGCAGTATCAGTTCATAAGGAAAGTAACACAGTGACATGGCACGACCTGATTTTTTTCTAAATGTAGCAGTGTAATAGGCGAGTTTTGACATTTACTAGGTTATGCAAAGATTGTATGTATATATCATTCATTTTTTATTCGCGAAAAACTCAAGAAAGTTCGACAAAAAAGTTGTATTTTTAGTTACTTAATCTGAAAAAAAATACAACAAAACAACCAGTGGCGCCGAATATTTAGGTTAAATATTAGCCACTGAACTTATTTTTTTTATATTAGTTAAACCCTTACTAATGTAAATACAACAGCTGAATTTCGACACAATCGACAAAAAAATATTTAAGTATGTACAAAAACTGATTAATTTCATATTACTTTATATAAAACGTTGCAGTTTTCTTAGGATACCAGGAATACTAAAGAAAACAATACCCCGGCCACTTGTAACTTGTATAAGTCTTTTGTAACCACGTAAATACAACCACTCGTCTAATACTTCATATAAATACTTTGTGAGAGTAGCTTCATCTAAAGAAGCCAACGTGTCATCAACTCATGTCGCAATTGAACTGCAACCGCCTCCTTGCTTACGATTGGTGATGTATAAACGTGAACTATATACGCTTATTACTTAGTTAACGCTATAAAATAATATTCAGAAATAATTTCGCGGCGCTGCCTAATAGTCCAGTCAGTGGGGTGTTTTGCCATACAAAAGGTGGTTTTATATGTTGTTAAGGTTTGGGTCTTGACAAAAAATCCAAATTTTCGACCTTGGGGTGGGACCACTCGAGCCGCCATCTTGGATAGAAGGTACAGTGACGAAAAGTTGAACATATTTTCCAAAAAAAATAGGAAAATTCCCCAATTTTGTAATTTTTCCGAAATTCTCGTTATTTTTTACATAGGTATAAACAGCAACGGCTGGTGAGGTAGTGCCACGGTGCCACGGAGCCAAATATAACGCACAACATAAAAAAAACTTAAAAATAAGGTAGTGCCATGGCGATTTATTAGCGAAAAAAACTCGATTTGAGAAGTCTGCACGCCTCTCTCCTTCACAACAACTGAGTCAGAGTCACTTTCAATCAAACGTTTATCACAAATGAAACACAAATTAACTTCGGGATTTGCCATAGCAAAACTGCGACGAGCACTTTGTATCAACAAACAAACTGACATTAGACGCTACATTGACATTACTGGGCAACCATTTTATTATAACATTTTGGTTTCTCCATGGCCCGCTTGACAAAATATATTCGATTTCACCGCGTAAGCATATTTTTATCATGATGCATGAGATGATGGGCCAATTAATATGCGATAGACTTTATAAATTAATTGTTTTTTTATTATTTTTGTTGTAATTGAAATAAGCAACAAATATTGTTGATTAGTTGTTAATACCATATAGCAGCAAATTATCTTAGTTGTTTTTGTTAAAGTTATTTAATAAAAATTAGTTCAGAAATGCGATATTGTGTTAATATATTTCCTTGGTCCAATTCATATGCGACTGGGCTCGTATTCTTGGGTCTACGTCACTTGGGCGGAAACAAGAAGGGCGTCAACAAAAAGATTGTACTTAGGAAATAATTTGGGGAAAATTTCGTTATCTGCAAAATATTCTTCGCCCTTTTTGCCTCCGCCCAAATAATTACTCCACCCAAATTGTTTCGCCCTTTTTACGATGCCCCGTTATACTTGATACATCGAAAAAACATTTTGATCGTAAGATTAACCGCTGCGGATATATTTTGAAAAATACAGTTTTTTGTATCTTTAATTCAAGATGGCGGCTCGAGCGGTCGCACCCCAAGGTCGAAAATTTGGATTTTTCATCAAGACCTAAACCTTAACAACATATTAACAAATTACTACTACACCACCTTTTGTATGGCAGAGGCCTATAATGGCCCTCCACTGATTGGACTATAACGCTGAAGAAGCGTTCACCCGCAAGACTGATGACTGTTAGATGGATACTTTAGATGCAGCTATTTTAAAGATATATTTTTATAGGGGTATAGTAGTTTGCAAAAAGCATCACTGATCCAATTTTTGCGAAGAGTTCTGATCATAAGCCTTAAATCTAAATAAAGCCAGAATGATCCTTGAACGAGTTAATTTTCATATAACATATTAGAAATAAATTGTTTGGTAATTATTGGAAAAACTGGAAATCGTCCGATTTTCACCAAAATTTACATCCACCCTATTTCGAGGTGGCAGATTACGAATCTGACCTTTTTTGGCGGCCCCTTTTTTCGTTTTTCAGAAAAATCCAAAAATGTAACCAAATGCTATTTTTCAAAATTTCTCATATTTTATAAAGTTTTGTTAGATATTCAATAATCATTCAGGTTTTTGCTATTTTCTGTTACTTTTTTTGTCCAATTCTATGCATAATAGAGGAAATTGCAAAAACAGATTTGTAAATAATCTGAAAATGTTAGGTCACGTGTTAGTGACATTTATACATGGCTTTAATTTGGCAACATTTAAAGCCATGTTGCTATATCTAAATTTAGCTGGTACCCAGATTCACAGATTAATTTTTTACCCACAACTACACTTTGATATCATAGAATATAGAATATATTTAGACCAGACGCTAACGGGGTCGCGAATGAGTTGTGATTGCTTTGGTTTAAGCCTTTTTCATGATTTCCTGGTTGTATTAACTTTAAACCTTAAGGCGTGTTACAGAGTTTCGGCACCGTATCCCTTATCCTTTTAGACCATCGTATTTCGCGAAGTGACTATGGATTATGATACGGTTTCCTTTCATTATCATAATTAACAATGGCACATAACAGATGAAAATATTCAAAACAATCATTATTAGTAAAATAATTGATGGGATTAGGTTAATGCCTAGTTATCGCTCTAGAAACCAAAACACGATGTAAGTGTATTTTGATTGCTTGGTTTCACACTTTTGTTTATTTCTGTTTTTTTATTACGTATCCGATGATGCGTATTAAAATCTGATTAACTAAACAAAACAGTGACACCAAGTAATCAGAACATTGTTAGAGCTACAGCTAGACAATAGACATTAACCTAATCCCCTACCAATTATTTTAATAATAGTCCCTAATCAACCGAAAAAGTGCAAGACATGACAACGTTGCACATTTTTAGATTTATAGAATTATATTTGTCTCTCTCATTGTATAGAATGTCGCATATATGAATGTCAAACTTTCATCACAGCTTTCATCTTGTCTGAATTTGCTTTGTTTATTTTGTTAAGAAAGGCGTTTTTCAGTAAAATTTTGGGTATTTTTCTATACCCAATGAAGTGTGGCTTTTAGATAAACTATATTATAATGAAATTATTACTTTATACGGCTTAAATTAAGAAAAATTCAATTTTTAAATAATTTTTCGGTTTTCTGAAAAACGGCAAGAGACTATCAAAAAAATCATCTACAACCTCATAATAGGGTGTATACATTTATTTTGTGAAAATCGAACGATTTCCTGTTTTTCCAATAGCCAATTGTTTAATGGAAAATTTTAATATATACATAACCCTTGCTAAATGTCGATGGAAGCTTATGCGCCAATTACTTGTACTGGTTCAGACCAATGCTAAAATACCAAATACTACATACAATATAAATAAATAAAAATACCAATTTCGTAATTAAACTAGGGATGAATTGAATTAACAAAAGAATCACAGCCTTTATCAGACACTACTTGACAACAAATATGTTTCCTGCAAACTGCAATATTGAGAATAAGACTTCAAAATGATTATATTTTAGGTTCAAGTTGAAACAATAACAAATTAGAATGTAGAATATTTGGGTGAGGAGTTAAGCACCGCGACCTTGCAGATCTATTGTCTCCCTTTCTTGAGCTATAACGAGTTATAACTCATCGTATAGTTTCAGGGCTTTGAGAAAAGCCAGTATCTGAGACGGATTCACAGAGGCTAGTTCTCAATTTGCAATATCAGTCGTACCAAAGTTTCATATTATGCTCGATATTATGAGAATATAAAAATTATATAAAATGTCCTTTGTTGAATGACACACGATCATAAAATTTTTGGCTGTACAATAAAAGAACTAACACAGAGGGATATTTAATTTTATTCGGCTTAGTAAACTTACACCTAATATATCTTTTTGTTCAGTCTATTCAATATATTTTGTTAATTTTCATTCAATAAAATGTTATTAAACAAACTCAATATCAGTCGACGTTTAGTAAGGGTTTAATGTAAATTGACAATTAAATGACATTTATCTTAGCTTAGATCAGTACAAATCCTACCTATTATTAAGAAATTAACACTATCTGTCAAGAGCTGCTTTCCATTCACAAAATCTATGATATTTTAAGTCTTAATTCAAAGTTTTCTTCCGAAATATATCCTTAAAATATTTTAAAAATATATAAACAATCATAATGAAAAACAAAGTTTAACCTAGTCAAATTTCACAAGTCAATAAATAAAAAAGTTCCATATGACGCGGACTTTGTGACACATATGTGTGTGTGTACACATATATGCAAGTAATTTTAATAAAATTTGTTTATTTGTATGTATTAATTACTACCTTGAAGTTCAAGGTATGAAAAATACAACAGAAGTAAATAAAAAATATAAGAACAGACATAAGAGAGAAAAAAAAAACATAAAAATTCCATCTCTATCCCGCAATATTATTCTTTTACAAATCATTACATTGTTTATAAGTACTTCATATAACGTTATTGTATTAAATAACATAAAAACAATGAAAAATTTTAACATTATTTTTTATAACTGTTAAAATCGAACCCTTCATCATAAATCTCGACCAAACCAAAAAGAACAATCAGTTTTAAAGCGTGGATATGAATGGAAAACAGTTCTCAATTCTACAGAATAGCGATAACTAATACAAATTTCTAAAAATGGCCCCAATACATACTAGCTTGCTACATATATTATGTCAAATTACAAAATCGTCAAAAATATAAAGTCAACGATAGCTTTTCATACCGAAAATATGAAATTAATGGCAAGTACATCTAGTATGGATTAAACTTATTCCTTTCGCTCTTCAGTTTGCTGCCTTGTTCGCTTGACCTTCCGTAACTCGACGAAGACTTATGCGGCCTGTGCACGCCCGTGGTTTGAATTGGAGCAGTGGTAGAGCCGGTACCCGCGCCTAACAGTTCCGTGAGCCCGCCCAATGCGCTCAGACTAGTGAGGGCATTGAGGGCTCCAGGCTTGGCTAGGAGCTGAGCGAGTGGGATGGCGCTGGCCAATGGGGAAGTGGCAGCAGTAGTGGAAGTGGAGTTGGAACCGCTGGCGTTCGGGGAACCTTGGGATTCTAGGTTGGCCTTCTGCAGCTCGACGCTGTGGGGAGATAAAGGGTTATTAGGGTGGGTGGGTGATCATAGGGTATAAGTAGGAGTTTTGTGGTCCCGCATTTAAAAATTAAAACGCGAGTATCCTTTCACTAATTTTGGATCGAAATTTTCAGCATAGTTAATCGCTGACTTGTTAACTGACAACAAAACAAAAACCTAACATGTAAATATAACCCGAATATCTTCTATATTTTTTAAAGTCAGTATCATGGCTTAATAAACTAAATGTTTTTGGGGTTATTTTAGGATCAATGTAGTCATTGTTCAATAATATATATATATAAGTATTTTTGAAATATAAAAAAAAAGATATTCGTTATTGAAAGTCTTACGGTAAAAAATATTTTAGAAAATCCTACTTAAGTACTACTAGGTAAATAAAAATTAAAAAAAAACAATAATATTACCAGGTTTATTATAATTTTTAATTTACTATACTTGTGGAGTGCATGTAGTCTTCTACCTTGGAATTCAATTACTGTGAATATATTAATGCGAAACCTTCTGTATTATGTTTTATTGATAAAATACTAAAATGCTTACCTATTTTTTTTCGTAGCTCTTAATTTTTTATTTTAGTAAAAAATTCTTAGTTATCTATTTTTTATTTTCATTCTAAGTAAATTTATTGAAATAAATGAATCTAATGCATAAGCTATACCTATACTGCTTATATTTTAATCATTGAAATATTGATTATAATCGAGTTATACAGGGTGGCGTGTCATATACGACGCGGTTTTTGCAAGGAGAATTAAACTTTGTTTTTTTGTAATGGAACACCCTATATATTAATTGATTTTCGGGCTCTAGTAAAAAAAAACAAAGGCGAGTTTCATTAGAAAAGTATATGACAAATGTATAGTTTTTGAAACACATCCTTTTCACACTTGATGTATTTTAAAGTTTAATATATTTTGTTCTAGTGGGTCGATTTTGATGATTTTTTATAGTATGTAGCCAAATTATTTGACTTTTTAGTATCTATCTAAATTAAAAATGAAACACCTCATCTGTTAATTACACGAGCGAAAACAAAATGTTGATATTTTGGTGAAAGTTTGCGATACCATGTGGAATATGTTAAAACAACAAGAAATTTAAAATCATTTTATAATCTAGATACATCCTTTCTCGATAGTTCATCTCATTAGCTTTATTTTTGTTGGAGATATTCGCTTTTGAAGAAGACTTTTTTCGTAATTTTTACATTGCCTTTGCCTCTAGTTCTAGTCAACAGATCTAGTAAGTTCTGGTCCCGAAGCAGGCCTTCTTACATAAGATTTGCTTCATTTAGTCTTCTTCTTATAGTCCGCTAGTTAATATGTACGTTCCTTAGGTGCAATTGATTATAAATTTGAAAAGATGACAAACGGCAGTTTCTTAGCGATAAACTTACAATAAGTCGATCGTCTCGATTAGAAGTTCTCATATGAAGGTTCCTGGACGTCTAGATTGACGACCTCATAGACATGGTCATAATTCAAAAACCACTCAGTATACTCTATGGTATTAAGATATTTTTGGAACCGGAATTTTGCAGCAAATTCACTGAACTAAACAAATATAAAGCATTTCATTTGAAAAACTAGAACTTAAGCGTAAAAATATATTTGACTCCCCTGTATCAAACCTATAAAAATATTTTTGAAATGTAAACTACCATTAAACACATATTTTGTAAAAGGTTTGGAATGAAAAACTCAAATAAGAATCCTGAAACAGAGTTTTTTTCGGAACACGGATCTTGTATGTATGTGTTTATTTAAATACTAAAGTGAAAGCAACGAATTTAAATGGGTAAACTTTGTAATATATCTTATTAACAATACAATGGCAAAAAGTTTTATAAAAATTCGTTCATAGTAAATTAATTCCGAGGTTTGTATCCCATAAGGGCTTAAAGCACTCCACTACACCATTATACTATTAAAAGTATTGATTCGCTAGACTTAAAAAAACTGACGTATTTTTTGTTTGTGAGAGGACAACAATGAAGTCAGTAAACCTTGTGGTTCAAGCAACACAACTAAAAGTGGCAGGAAGCATAGGTTGTCCACAAGGAACCCCATTGGAAAAGATTGTAAATTTAAAGAAAACAAGAATAACATTTTTAGCAACCTAAGTATGAAAATTTCCATAATATGACAACCATATAATTCTGGTTTGGATAATCTGGAGGACAACCCCACGCTTGAATTGTAAAATTTCAAAATTAAAGACGATGTCCCACTAAGATATTTTACTTTATAATTCATCATTGTCTACCAATTAAAAAAAAATATATAAATAGATTAAATTGTATGACCACAAAACATATTTAGCAGACTCAAAAGAGGTAAGGATCTTTGAGACCTGGACAGATTTAAGTGTGGGAAAAAGCGACTAACAAAAGATATGTTGATGTACATGATATAATGAATAGCAGAGGACAAGGATCAGACGATGTGTTATTTAAAGAATTGGTGAGGGAAAATGATAATTTATGAGAATTAAGTATTGGATTAAGGGTTAATAGGTTATTAATGTGTTTCCTTATCTTTAAACGTTACTTTTTTATAAGACGACATTTAAAACACTCATGACACATTTCCCTTTTTCATATTATAAAACACATCATTTGATTCGAATATGTAGACTGTTATTTTAGAGTATCTGATTGGGATATTCTTTAAATATCAATTACGCATGCGTAGATAAATACATTTACGATACTAAATATTATCGTTATATATGAAAAAATCTTACCTCATATTAATCAGATACTGCGCTAACGCGACAGCGTCTGGATTTCCGGAAATAGTGATGGTTCTGTCGGAAGAGCCGCTTTCACGATCATCGCAGTTCGAAATGCGTATCATGGCACCGGAAATTTGTCTGATTTCTGCAATTTTCGTACCTCCTTTTCCAATAATGCATCCAATTAGTTCATTTGGCACAGTCATTTCGTGAGTTTGTTGATTGGAATTTTGTTGATTACGAGTATTTGAAGTTCGCAATTGGGAGCCAGCTAATGCAGCTAGAGCTGAAAAACCATGTTCTAGAGATATATGGTTAAAATGTAAAAGTAATATATTAAAATTACCTGCAGGATTAAGTCCTCCTGTATTGGCTGGTGCCAAGCCCCCCAAACCTAACGCAGCCAAACCAGCTAAAGGATTCTTAGTCAAGGCGGCAACCTGTAACAACGAATAAATAAATCCCAATATTAATAAATATGACAATAAAAATAAAAATATATTCTTTAATACTTAAAATATAAATATATAGTAACGGTATCTACATTAATATCTGGAAATTTGTCGGCCAGTTTACAATTAGAATTTAATAAAACTAATACCGTATGATCGAGAAAAAACGGCGTCAGCGATGGCTATAGAATGAAGATCGCTGTCATTTTATATGTAAATTTATATGGGAAATGTCATTGATGTTCATTTCCCAGCCAACTGGACGCCGTTTTTTTTCGATCATACGGTATTTCAACCTGTGGTATAAATAAATAAGTAATAACTGGTAACGGAATGTAACTCTAATATTCCGTAAGGTCAAATTGTTCATGTTTTACCTAGCAGGAAATCAACCTTTAAAAATATTGAAAGAAAAACAATTAGTGGGATTACATTTTAATAGGTGCCTGGTGGCGTAGAGGTACAGGCTCGCGTCTACCAATCTCAAGGTAGTGGTTCGAATCCCACACCCGGCATTTCATCAGCCGACTATTTTTATTAAAATAAAAATAGTTGGTCGGCTCAGCCTTAAACGAGTACTTGGGATTCACAATTCTGAGGTAATAATAGGCGGTTGAAGCGTAGTGCTAGCCACATTACCTTCCTTGTATACCGAACGGCTCTAGTATGGCAAGCTGTACCTTGCTACTCCCAAGGCGTTAAACGCTATATACGGGAGTTATTATTTATATATTATATTTTAATAAAGAAAATATTTTTTCCATTTAGTTAATGTAGACCAACAAAAATACTGACTTTCAGATAGTGTTAACTGTTTCTCCAAAGCAGACCTGATAATAAGCATAAGAATATTATAAAAAATCGTCTCCATAATGTAGTAAATTTTCCGTTTCCCATTTTCTCCCTAATGTAGTTTCCATCCCATTTTCTCCCTAATGTAGTAAATATTCAAAATAGCGGCCATAACAAAACAAGAACTCAGCTATTGTGCGAAATCTAGAAAGCTTAGAAAATTTATGAAGACGGCATTTAATTGGTTGAAATCAAAAATATAAAACTACCAACTTAAGTTACAATAGATAAGAGTTCTGAAGATATTGTCATAAAATAAAAGTAATATTTTCATTTCTTTTATATTGACATAAATCGGAAACTAACTAGGATACCGGAGTTTTCTTCACAGACGTTTGCCCTAACTTATAGCATAAGTTTTGTCTTAATCAACCGAAATTGTACCTCTTATATTATATACAGGGTGTCAAAAAATAGTGTATCTAACTTTGGTGGATGATTCTACAAATAAAAATAAAAAACGTATCCCCTAAAATTGCCCTACATATGCCCTAAAATATCAACATATGCCCTAAAATACTTCCCAAAGAAGTTACAGCTCTCAAAAGTATAAACAAAAATAATATATTTGTTTATTTCTAAGAACACTGGTATACCGTTTTCCTGAAATTTGGTACTCATACACACATTTTAATGCCAAAGCGAATGGCGATTGTGAAAAATTCCGTAACAGCCCTGAAAGGGTACTTTCCTAATGGAAAGTACCCTTTCAGGGCTGTTACGGAATTTTTCACAAAAAAAAATGTAAAAAATATAAACCTAATGGGTAGAGAGTACTACTGGTGATACTTATTCTATCCTAAGTACCACAAGTAGTACTCTTTACCCTAATGGAAAGTACCGTATTAAATGAATGTACCGGTTCACGGCTGTTACGGAATTTTACACTTACATCACCATTCGCTTTGGCATTAAAATGTGTGTAAGGGTAACAAATTTCAAGAAAAACGGTTTACTAATGTTCTTAAAAATAAACAAAATATATTATTTTTATTTAACCTTTCGAGGGCTGTAATTTCTTCAGGAAACATTTTAGGGCATATGTGCAAAAGAACTTTTTGTTTTATTTTTACCTGTAGAATCACCCACCGAAGTTAGATACATTATTTTCTGACACCCTGTATACTATATTGAAAGCTGGTTGATTATAAAATTATGCGTTTTATAAAGTTATAAAGATTGAACTGCAAGTGATTTTAACGTTTCTTATAAATTTCGTAACCTTCAAACTTCGATATATATTCATAATTAAATATCAGTTAATCGTATGGTGGCCCACTGGTTTAAAATACATGCAGTATGTGAGATTTCAAAAAAATGTACTTTTAGCGATTTCGATTTACATGCTCTTAGATATATCTACGTAAATAGTTATAGAATATAATATAGTTGATCAGAGGTAAAGTGAATATAGAACAACGGAAAAAAGATCAGGTTACATTAAATAATAGGAGTTAGTAATGTAACAAATATAGTATTAAATTCAACAAAAATGCCGGTTTTAAATTGTTAAACGACTATTTAAATATAATAGATGTTATAATTAACAAACCAGGGCTTGTTTTTCTAAAGTTTACTGGAATATTTTTTGTTTTATATAATAAATTTAAAATAATATATTTATGTAAAGACTGTTAAACGTTTATGTAGAGAATATGTTTTTGTTTCATAATGTAAAACATTTTTTATTAGATAATTTATTTGATTATTTATAACAAAATCCAATACCAAATATATTAAAGTGAACGTGTATTTCTAATATATTTACAATTATACCGTGCTGGCAACTGTTACCTTTGGGTCGGTATTTAAATGTGTAGAAGTTAATCGCACAGGGATCTTATTAAGTCGGAGTGAGAGAAATGCGACGGTGTGCTGTTGCGTTGTTGCCGGTACGTCTTTCTCTATTAAGTAAAGTAAATTCACGATCGCAAACCGCTTGTTTTTAAGACTTTTTTTGCGAAAAGGTAACTAGAAAAAATCAGTAGATATGTTTCTGAGCATCTGAAATGGAATTATAAGGATATCGTTAGGGTGTCCATTTTTTTTATAACGAGAAAACGTCAGTAATCGCGATCATTTAAAAACTCAACTTTTTTACACATAACATGCAATAACTTAAGAACCACTTTAGATATTGAAGCTTTTTTATTTTGAGGATCGGATCATTTACTATATGTTTACATAAGAAAAAATCGATAGGTTGTTTTTTTCATTCTAAAATTTAAACAACCCATCCATTTACTTTTAGTGCATAGCAGTTTTCAGCAATCGTGTAACTTTTATTTAAAAAGATTTTTGCATACTGTCTGCAAAGAAAGTTTTTAAAAAACTACAATCAATTATTTCTAATAGATTTCGAGATATCGATTTTTGAATTCAGAGTTCTAATAGAGCGACCACTGTCGAACACCAACTTAATTCCACTTATGTTTACCAAAAATGCAAGTGTTTCTAACTTGCACTTAAAAATTTACTTTAATTTGACTCGTTAATAAATAAACAAATAAAGTAACACGAGACATAATTAAATCGTGAAGCTAAACGCATGATGTACACCTTTCCCTAGAACTTTAAGTACTGACATTGTACTGATTGGGTCAAACGGTCGACTGCGACAAATCAGCTATATCCCTTCCACGTCTCTTAACAATGTGCACAGTTTCTCGGTTTATTTCATACGTTTGGCAAGGTGTTTACTGTTCCCTCTTTGTTCAGTACATTATAAAACGTATTGTACTCTTCTTACATACGAAAATCTCGACCCAAGACTAACCTTTGCCAGCCCTTAGTATGTATAAATGCTCTAATGTTACAAAAATAAAAGTGTTTGCAATAACAATTATAAGAAATTCGTATCTATTTAATTTACATAATCTACATAATATTAAGTACAATGTTATTTTTGGGATGCTTGTTATTTTGCATATTTTACAAATGCAAATAGAATATCCGAAAATATTCGGGAAGGTAATAATAAAATTGTTCAAGACACATTTTTGGAAATTTTAAATATCTATCTTTTATTTTCTTATATTTTTGGATTGGCTTTATCACATTTAAAATAAGAGTAAGAATTAAAAAAAAACTGCAATTTCAATTATTTCCTCGGTTATTTCAAACTGTAATAATTCTTTCCTTTTAAAAGTGAAACTTCTTTAAGCGCGATGGGAGTAAAAATTGGGTAAAAAATTGTGAAAGTAGAAAAGGTCGTGACACACGAGACGCGAGAGGAAAAGTGATAACGATCGGAGGTTACGACGCAGCGTCGTAACTCGGGCTCTATACAGGGTGACAATTTGAAAACGAACAGTATTTAATATTACCTCTACCGATGATAGTATGAGAATTTGGCGAAATACGTCAATTTACATATCAAGGGGAGACAAATTTTGAGGCATTTGTTGTCGTAATTTTAAATGGCAACCCCTATTTCTTTTACCATTTTTGTGTTCCTTATAAAATTCTCAAAAAAATAATGCAGTTTATGTAGAATTCTATAAGAAACACCAAAACGGGTAAAAGAAATAGGGGTTGCCATTTAAAATTACGACAACAAATGCCTTAAAAATTGTCCCCCTTGATATGTAAATTGACATGTTTCGCCAAATTTTCATACTTCATCATCGGTAGAGGCAATATTAAATACTGTTCGTTTTCAAATTGTTACCCTGTATGAGCTAGGGGGCTGAAACTCGGAACGTAGTTTTTCATGATATTTTGGCGACGTTTCGTGCACTATAAACCGTCCGATTTAAATGAAATCGTCCGATTTAAATGAAATCGTCCGATTTAAATGAAATCGTCCGATTTAAATGAAATCGTCCGATTTAAATGAAATCGTCCGATTTAAATGAAATTTGATTTGTCGATAGATTGCCAACTTGACCGTGTCACTGTAACAGTTAGTTATAACGTAAGAAACGTCAAAAGTTGATTTGGTTGATCTTCCGATCGCGACCAAATTTGGTGGGTAGGCTATGTGAGCGACGGTGCACATGGTCCCACCCTGTAAAGTTGGATACGACGGCAACGTTTCGTTTACATCTTCATCAGGATGGGACTAACAATTTGATTTTGAAAAAAAATGTGGGTTAATTTCGGCATAATTGGGGACGGGCTATAAGATGACGCCC